TTAATAACAAATTTTTGATACAGTATATTAAATTCTGGTTACACGCATATAGATAATATATGTGTCAATATGGTATGATGCTATCTATTGTTTGTATAAACAATTTTATTTATAATTTTATAATATAAATATATTACAGCGAATGGTATCTAAAATGTATAACAGATAAATTGCTTGAAAATATACTTTCTTATAGATTATGATGGATTTAAAATATTTCAAATTTAATGCCAAATGTATAAACATTTTGTTAATATTTCGGAAATTATGCATTTACGGAAAATTGAACTATCATGATTATAATCTTTATTTTATAAGTTTTCAATCGACATATGACAATCAGTATTCTAAATATTAAAATCGTGCTTATGTTTTAACAATATTATTGGATATTTTTATATTTTATATATATATTTTTGAAAATTATTTTAATCTTATCACAAATTTCATAAAATATAAATATTTTTATTATTTATGATTTTTATTAGATTATAGACTATAGCTTCTATAGTAAAGTAATAATTATTAAAGTAATAATTGATAAAGTAATAAATATATTACTTCTAATAGTGATATTGCTTATATAATATTAATAAACAGAATATTGTCAAAATATATAGTTAATTTATAATTTATATTATAATTTATAATTTATGTTAGATGTTAATAATATTAGATTAACGCAATAAAAATATTATAAACAATTAATAATTTAATATTGTTTTAATAAGATATGTTTCATATTATATCTCTTCTAAATGAAACAATATTTTATTATTTAGTATTTTATTATTATTAAGTATTAACTAAGTAAATATTAAGTATTAAGTATTTTATTATTATTAAATATTATTATTATATTGATTCATTTATTTATCCAGTATAAATATTTTTTTTTTCTTTTAGTTTATAAAATATAGTTGGAATAAACAAAATTTTATCTTATTATATAAAAATAGCATATTGTAAAACATTAAAATATATATTATTTTAATGACAAAAAAAACATTTATAAAAAAAATCCAATATTTTTTAATTTCATTTTACATTATAATAATCATCAAAAAGTAAAAATTAATCACTACCACAAATACAATGCTATATTGAAAAGTTTAAAAAAAAATTAAGAAAACTTTATATAAAATTTGCAATGAAATGAAATTTGAATAAATTGCAAGTTTTGAAAAATATTGAAAATTATAGGATTTTATCAAAAACTCAATTGTTAATCTCCTCCCTTTCATCCTCTTTCTAATTTTAATACTATGAAATTGTAATGTTTAAATTAAAATATTTTTTAATGAATTTTTGACATTAATAGATTAATATTTTATGCAGATGGAAATAACAATATCATAATATATAACAATCATTAATATATTAATAATACATAACAATCATTAATATATTCAAAATTATACGGTTTCATTTTGAAGACAATTTTAAAATCTCCTTCACTTAATCTAAAAAAACACATTTTATATCATATGATGCTTAGTTTTAAATCAAATAACTTTCATTAAAATAATGTTTTGATAATTTCAGTTTCTTCAACTATATTCTATTTTATTATTCTCAGTTGTAATGTAAGATTCTATATAAATAAATAATGATTTCATAGTGATGTACATGCTATCATAATTGCATAAAAATATAATTAAAATTTAATATTATTAAAAATTCTGCAAATAACTAAAATAATATCAAAAGTTTTTTGTCATTAACTTATTTATATTGTAAAAATTTATCATAAATTTAAGTAAAAAGTTAAGAATGTTTTTTTTAATTCATACTATATATTTTTTTGTTAAATATATATATTTTATTGTCAAGTGCATTATCGAAATGCTAATTTCAATTTTATGTTTAAATGCTTTCTTTAATAGCTGATTATATAAAATGGGTGAAATTGAAAGAATATTGGGAAAAAATATTCTGTTTTAATGTGGCAGGATTTAGTCTATTATTCAATTATGAAATTGAAAAATGAGAATACTAAATGAAAATAAAAGAGAAAAAGAACTGAAGCAAAATGAAAGAAAAAAGAATTGAATTCATATGATAGCATAACAATAATATTCCATAAAAAATTGTTATAATTTACATAAATTATATTTTACATAAACAATGTAATTTTTTATATTTTTTACAATTAGTTTCAATTTTTTTCTTATAATATTGTAAATTTTATATAAGTATAAAATTCTTATATTAAAATAAAAAAAATATTGATCATTTTTTATAATATATAAAAATAAAATTAATTTTTATATATAAATAAATTAAAAATTGCTTTTATTTTAATTTATATAATAATATATATAATATAATATAATATATAATAAATATATCTATACAAAAAAATAATTTTAGCTATATAATTTAGCTAATAATCTGAAAGAAATTTCAATAGTAAATTTTAATAAAATTTATTATATTTAAATCAATTTACATATAATTTAATTTAGTCCATTTTTCACTAACTACCCATAACCATCTTGCAATTTGATCATTTTTTGCTTCACTTGAAACATCTGCTACTTTATTATTACTATAACAAAAATATATATATATGATTAAATTTATATTTAAAATAAATTTTTTATAATAATATTTTAAATTGTAAATGTATGAAAATTCTTACACAAAATATTCTCCAGTCACATCATTCAAAGATGGATCTATTGCAACAAATAAAATCGGTTGCGCTCCTTTTAAAGGTGTTTTTATAAATATCCATGTTAATAAATCTGTGAGCAATCTACCAAAATAGTATTGATAAATTCCCATATGTCGCATTATTTCTGTGCGTACTATGCCAGGATGTACTGCATTTACTGTAACACCAGTTCCTAAATGACAAAAAGAAGAATATATTATGATTGTTCAATGATCAAATTATTATTATTATTCAAATTTAAATATTATTTTACAATATAATTATAATTATACCTTTTAATTTATTTGCTAATTCTTTTGTAAACAGAATATTAGCTAATTTGCTTTGTGCATATGCTTCACCCGGCTCATAATTTTTTTCACTATTTAAATCATCCAATTTAATTTTTCCACGTTTATGTGCACTACTTGAAACATTTATAATTCTTGATGGTGCAGAACTTTTTAAAACATCTAATAATAAATTTGTTAATAAAAAGTGTCCTAAGTGGTTTACACCAAATTGCATTTCAATTCCTTCTTTAGTATGTTTCTTAGGACATCTCATTACTCCTGCATTATTTATGAGAATGTGAAGATTGTTATGTTCTATAATAGAATNATATATATATATATATATACACATATATATACATATATATATTTAATTCTATTCTATTTAATTATTCTATATTATTATTCTATATATATTAAACATTGTTATGCTTAATTTAATTCTATATTTTAACACAAATTATACCTTGTTTAAATTGCTTTACAAAATCTCTAATACTTGCTTGAGATGCTAAATCACATTCCCTACAATAAACAAATTTATTTTTGCTTTCTATTACAATATCACGACGTGCCTAGAAAAATAAAAAAGAAATTTATACATTTTGATTTTTATTAATTAAAATTATTTTTATTATCATCATCAATTTAATATTTTATTTTGTCTCTTTTATTAATGGATAATAACAAAAATAACAAAGATAATAATAATAATATTAATACAATTTCACATTTGTCCATATCTCTACAAGCCATTATAACTTTAGCTTCTCGTTTGGCTAAATCACGAGCTATTTCTCTACCAATTCCAGTATTTGCTCCTGTTACAATAACTACTTTATCATTTAATTTATCAGTATTATCATATAAATTTCCACTAAGATAATCTCTGAAAAGAATGTGAACAAAACTAATGGAATAAAATATAATTTCAGTTTTATCTATAATAATAATAAATATATCAATTTACACATTGTGTACACATTATTAATACTAAAAAATTAAAGGATTATAGAAAAAGTGAACAAATATAAATATATTACTTTAATAAATATGCACCACCAATAATGCTTATACCGGCTGAGTAAAGATAAAAAGGTTTTGCAATACGCGAAAACATTTTTGTATTGTTCAATTTCAATAATAAGAAAGTATTAACAACGATTTAATAAAATATTATAACTTTTCTTTTTGTATAATTAACTTCTTTACTATATCATACTTTGTTTATATCATGCTTGCACGTGCTTTTTAAAAGTAAACAATAAAACTATGTATATTTAAATCTTATCAATATGAAACCAATATCATGAAACCATAGATTAGAAATAAAATAGATTTGTATTTTTGTTATTTAAATTGAGAAATCTTCGTTATTCTCATATTATATGCAATATTATCGTTCAGATTGAATTGAAATTACAGAGTTATATGCGTTACAAATATAATGCCACATATGATACAAATATCTTATATTTAATTTATGTTATTGAATTTAATTTTTTACACAATCAGTAATTCAGATAAAATCCCTTAGATCATATATATATATATATTAGATATTAGAATTATTTAGATCACATATGATCTAAATAAAATAAGGTAGTTAATCTATTCAATATTTTGTTTGTGATGAAACTACAATTTTGCATTGGTTTTGCATTGATAAAATATATCAAAATATATATTAAATATATTTTATATATTAAAATGTATTAAAAATATATGTTATTATTCAAAAAACAATAAATAAATTTATATATTTTATAGTTTATATATTTTCAATACTGCATATTGTTTAATGAAAGCCAAAATGATTTAATATTTAGAAATATTAATTTACATTTGTTACAAATATAAAATTATATATTTTTGAAAATATATAATATTATGATAAATTAAATTAAAAATAGCAAATTTTAATACATATTGATATATATTAATCTGTATGACAGGCTGCTGGAATTGTGTATATTATCTATATGTAAATGTGACGTGGAACTTTTGAAATGTTCTGTTATCGTTACTAAATATATTTATAAATATTATATATCATATAAATTTTTTATTTTTTTCTGTATAATTTAAAAATATAAATATATAAAATATAATTTAAAAAAATGTCGCTACGGAAAGGATTATTTATTGTGAGACATATAAAAATATCACAAAGATCATTTGTTCATAGAAGTTTTCAGTTATCACGAAAGGTTTGGAATTATATCTAAGCTCGATTTTATTTTTTATTAATTTTTTCTTATTGAATAATATTTTTAATATTTATTGCAATCAGAAAAATTTTCTATTTTTAATCATTATTAATTCTATCGTGATAAAATGATTATTTTTTATAAATTGTAAGTGTAAAATTATTTATTATTATTAATATTTTATAAAAATATTAATATATTATATTAGAAATATTTCATTAGTTTTTATTATTAGAGAAACAATCAACATATATTAGTAAAAAAATTATATACTTTGCCTTCATTTACTGCCATGGCTCTTTGGGGTTTCAAAAAAATAAAAGGTGAAAACGAAACAATTATAACTACAAAAGAAGTTTTAATAGCAAAAGCTGATGCATTGTATGATCAGGAACAATATCAGGAAATATATAAGTTTTTAATAAATTATAAAGTAATTATATCTTTATATTGAAAATATAATTATATATATAATAATATATATTATATATATATAATAATAAATATATAATTATATATATTTATGAAAAAAACTATAATTATAAATTTAAAATAAACTATAAATTTTTATAGGATAGTGGCGATGTTGAAATTATATGGCGTTTATGTAGAGCAATGTATAAAATGTCCAAGAATGCTAATGAGATAGATGGAAAAAAATTAATTTTTGAAGCTTGTTATTTAATACTCAATGCTATTAAAATAAAAGAAGATCATTGGGTTGCCCATAAATGGGCATCAATTCTTCTTAATTCTAAGACTCTTTATGAAGGAATGAAAGCTCAAATAAAAGAATCATATAATATAAAAAAACATATGCTGGTATATTTTATGTTATATTTTTAAATATTTGATTAATTAATATATAATATAGTAAGGAAATATAAATATTTAATATTGCAGAGAGCAATAGAATTAAATCCAAAAGAACCAACACTTATGTATATGCTAGGTTCTTGGTGTTATCAAATTGCTGATTTAACATGGTATCAAAGAAAAATTGCATCAGTAATATTTGCGGAACCACCATCTTCATCTTTTGAGGAAGCATTAAAATATTTTGAAAGTGCAGAAGAAATTGAACCTAATTTTTATAGCCAGAATTTATTAATGTTGGGTAAAACATATTTAAAATTGAATAACAAAGAAAAAGCTTTGAAATATTTAAAAATGACTGTAGACTATCCTGCAAAAAATGATGATGATCGTAATGCCAAACAAGAAGCACAGAAATTATTAAAAAATTTTTGACAAATAGTATATGACATGAATGCAATATATAATAAAAAAAAAATATATATATATATATAAGAATTAAATTAAGTTTTAATTGAAGGAATAAAATAAATTTAGAATTTAGCATTTAAGTAAAATTTATTTATTTAAAACAAAATACAATGTTACTTATTTGTGATAATTTTTTATACTGATATTTTAAATATATACATTTATGTTTTTATAAATATACATTTTTATACATTAAAAACTGAAGTAATGAGGAATTAAAAATTTTAATTTTACAATTATAATGTACATTTTATAAAATATTTTATATGTAATAACTTATAAATAGTATATTTACATTATATTATTATTATATTATTTAGAAACAAATAAAACATAGTTTGATATGAATTTGAAATGATTTGAATGATTAAACAAATTTTCTATGATTCTGAATGCCACTCTAATTAATTTAAATAATATAACTATATATATATCGTTTTTATTTGTAAATATTTCTTTATTCTAATTATATATATTACAAAAAAATTGCATTTTATTTAAATAATATCAATATCAATTATTAAATAGAGAAATGAAATAATTTACAAATAAAATATAAAAAAAAAAAAAAAAAAAAAAAATTTATCGATCTATAGATTCCTCTTCATAATTTTGTGTTTCTAATATTTCTTCACCTGTATTTTGAAAATTTGTATTTTGATAAAGTATTTCTATTTGTTGCATTTCGTGTTCTGGAATTAATAAAAATCTTTGTCTATCTTCTAATGGAATGTTTCGATAAAATTCGTAATATCGTCTAAACATGCAATAGGCACAGTAATTTTGATGCTGCCTTATAGCATTTAGGACATCTTCTTCATTATTATAATGCGGAGGTATATTAACCATTATTCACTTATATTGTCACCCACACGCTAAAAAATACAAAATATAAAATAAATAAAACTAAAAATATTTATAAATATATTTATAAAATAAAATATTAATAAAATAAAAAATAAAGAAAATTTTTTTTAAGTCATTAGTAAATTTATTAGTAAAAATAAATGGATAAATAAATTAATAATTTATTATTATATATAAAACGAATAATGAAAAATAACTGAATAAATTAATTATGATAAATAAAATAAATTATTACATATTTTAATTTAAATATAAGTAATGCGGAATATATTATTATTAATTAAATAGAATAAAATAGAATAAAATAATTTTATTTTATATTATTCCATTTTATTCCACGTACTTTATATAATAATTCAATTTAAAAATTGAATTATTATATATATATATATATATACATTATTAATAATGTACTTACTATTTTAATATATTTAGCAAAAACGTCTTTTGTATAAAGACATACACTGCAGTGCGATCAAATTTTCTGATTTGTATTTGTACCAAAATGCCAAATATTTCCAACTGGTCCGCGCCAAAATTAACTGCATAAATAAATTATAATAAATAAATTATTATATATTTTAATTTAAATATAATACGAGATTTATTATTATAATAATTTTATTATAATACTATATTATAATAATTTTATTATAATAATATATTATAATAATTTTATTATAATATTATAATAATATTTTATTATGATAAAATAAAATAATTCTGTATGTAATTTTATCAAAAATTGAATTATTATTAATGCACTCACTATTTTGAAAAATTTAGCAAAAACTTTGCTTTCTTCGGTATAAAAGTGCACACTGCAATGGAACGATATCACAGCTAAGTAACTCTCTCATTTGTGTTTACAGTGAAAATGTCAAATATTTCTAACAGTTCGCACTTATATATAGGTAGTCGATCTACCTGAATAACGGTTTTTAAGAATTATTGCACCCTTTTGTCATTTTGTTCAACTACCTAAATTTCTTTATTTTCCTTTTCTTAGTAATTTCTTTCTTTTAGGAAATTCTATATGCACATTATCTATATAAAAATTAACTTATGTGATATCATCATTTTATTTTTTTTTGTATATAAAATATAAGAGAAAATAAATAATAACAATTAAAATTGTGAAATGAAAAAATGAAAAAAATGTTAGTCCAATTTATTAGTTATCGAGTAAAAGGCGAATACACTGTTTACCTTTATAATTTACGATTTTGAATAAATAATAATTTACACATTATTTCTATCTTAGCCTATTATCATTGGACTATTAAAATAATAATTGTTTCTAATTTATACGTGTATATATTAGAAATTATAGGTAGAAGTTAACGTAATAATTATTTTATTAATTATTCGAAATATATTGTCTAAATGTATCAAGTTATTCAAATGAATGATGTAATTTATATATATAAAATATTAAATATATATCGATTATCGCTTTATTATTTATTATGTTATCATTGTATTAATATAATTTTAAAGAAATGCAGGAACACGTCTTTAAATATGACATAAATTCAAATATTTTGAAAATTTCAAATGTTATTCTTGTTTATAGTGAATTATATTTTTTAAAATATATAAAAATTATAATATAATATTTTTATAAATAAATGAAAAAGCATGAAGAAATAAAATTTTGGTACATTTCGACAGAAGATATATTATTTCCTTATTTTTATTGAAAAAAATAGTTTAATCAAAGAAATGCCATATGCTATAATATTATTTTACGATTAATAAGTTTGAAAAATTTTAGGAAAAACTTTCCGAATGAGAATTTTTCTGAAGAATATTTTGAATGGAAACCTATATTTCTTCGATATTCAGAATATGATAATAAACACAAATTTTAATTTTCGCAGAAAAGAATAAGAGGTAGCTATATTTTTAAAGTAAAATGACAATGTTATTTATTTATTTGTTATTTATTTTACTTTTAGAATATAAAATATTATATTTTCTTTTGTATTAATATTTATTTTAAGTAAAATAAATATGACAATATGGAGAATTTGTTAAATATGAAGAAAGAAGTATTTAAAATGAATTTTCTAAATGAATATGAATCAATTTAAAATAAATATGTATGCATTAAATATGATTCAAATTTTAAAGTTGAAAAACAAATAAATGACTCAAATGAACAATAAATTAGTACAATATTAAATTAAAATTAAGTCTTAATTTATATCGATATTAATTTTAATTCTCCAATGATAGAGAGAATATATATTTTTATTTTTACATAAAATAGCTAATTAGTAATTAAATATAATGTTTTTATTATCATTATTATAATTATCTAATTATTATCATTTATGATTTAATTTGTATATTATAATTTTAGTTATTTTTTATTTTCATCCTTCATTATACATATACATATAACACATTTTCTCCAAAAAATCTCTAATAAATAATTAAATTTATCCTAATTTTATTACTTTGATTTTTAGATCTAATTGCGTTTAATGTAATATGAATGTTCAATTTGATTCAAAAATTTCAATTATAACTTAAAAAATTGTTAATTATTAAAATAAAATTAAGAGTGAAACATACAAATTATTATAGCAGAATATTATAGCAGAGTTACTTATTAATAGATATTTTTTTCATAACTTTAATATTTTATTTACTAATTTTATTTAATATTATTGCGAAATAATTATTTCTCTTTTAATCTCTCGAAGCTATCTCTTATCTATCATTCAGCAGTTTGCCATTATTTTATTTCTTAATATTATAAATATACATAGTAACAAAGATTTTACAAAAACTTATAAAAATTTTTATTGAATATTACGTTTTTAATAGATTAATTTAAGCATAAGAAGGAACGCTTTGTTGATTATTACAGTTATATGTATTTATTTTTATAAAAATTTCGCATTTGTAATGTTACATTATTTTCGACGAAACGCAATTTATTTATTTTCCGCATAGAGATTGTACATTCTCTAATAATTATAGAGAATTTTCTTCTAATATTTAAAGAATTTAATTTAAAAAGAAATCTTTTTTGTCGCTTGTTATGCCTAATACATATTTACATTACTAAGATTGCAAACACATTCGAATGTTTATTTGCACGTGTATTCCTCTGTACGTTCGGTACACGTTTCACAATGCACGCGGCAGCACCAATGAAATTTGCATCTGCACTGCCATGTTCTTGTAAATTGATGTGTATTATAACCGCGTCCACAGCACATCAAATCACATCCATCGGTACCTGAAAAATTAATCATTTTATTTTTTTTTAATGTAAAAAATATTTTTCTTTAAAATATTGAAAAAAAAATTGTCTTTTAGTTTTGGAAAGAATGAAAGATTTTATACAATATATTTAAATTTCGAACATTGATTATTTAAAAAAAAAATATCTAAAAGAAATTACAATACAGAAATTTATCATTAATTAATTACTTTAATGTCGAATATTAGGATAAAATGAAAAATCAAGATTATAATATATATATAATTTTAATGGATTTTAGATTATTTTCTCTTTTTTATTTAAAATTATATTGCAATCAATTTATTTTTTTATTTTATATTTATAGTTTTTTTTATATTTCCGTTTTGCTTCAAACCGTTTTGATGCAAACTCAATTGTTAATAATTTAATTGTTAATAATAACTTTATAAGCTTTGACATTGTTGTTTTGCCAACTTTTGTATTTGTTTTAGTTTTGATACAATTGACATTTTAAAGATGCTCGATAAATATATATATTGCATTCTCTACGAATATACAAATAAATTTTTTATATTTTGTTAAAGATAACTTAGTTATTAAAGATAGTTAGTTATGATTATTAGTATGATTATTTGCAATTTGTATGAATTTTTATGAATATAATATGAGAAATAATCAATAATTAGATGGAAAAATAAATCGCTAAATATAATGCAACAGTAACTTACCTTTGCTTGTACGATTACAATATCTGCCTTGCGTTCCCAGACTTCCTTGCACCAAATCCGGCTCGCAGTAATTAGGGGATGGTTGTAGAAAAACCAACTCGTTTCTCTTTGGAATCCTTTTCTGTCCCACGCTCGATCCACCGTTTGATTTCGTTCTTTTTAACACTAAGTGCGGCCTTCTTGGTTTTGTCGCTTTTTTTGGGGGTTGTCGATCATGTCGGGACTTTCCAACATCGTTCGGTTTCCCTTGGGTTTTCGCATCGTTTCCTAAAATCGGCACCATTTCTGCCGATGTCGAATGTAGCGTTTCTAAACTCTATAAAGAACATAAAATTTATGAATGATTTATAATATAATAATAAAATGTAGTAATGATACATATATGATATCGTAAAGATTTCGAAATGCTATACTCAAAATTCATTTTCATTTACTCGTCTCGAACTAATTTTCAAATATTATTGTATTAAATTTTTAGATATAAAATTATAAAATTATTATATTAGTATTAATTCTCGATTATCAAAATCAAGCTTTTGCCTTTTCTAATTTCTTTTATAATACTGTTTTTATAACACATTTAATAATTTAATGATATATATTTATATGTATATACAATTGTACGTAAAAATTATTTGTACATTAATAATTATTTTCAAAGATACATATTGTTAAATTTTTAATTAAAATTTTTTACATTAATAACACGTTAAATTAAAAATTTTCAGTTTCATAATTATATGTCGAATGAACTGGATATTATATATTTCATTTTTGTGCAGAATGATTATATGTTGCATTTCAACAACATTTGGCACATTTTTATAGAAATTACCTGCATCGTAGGGGGTGGCGGTGGGGTAATCGCTATGACAGGTCTGGCTCTGTAATACTTTTTCATCAATGCATCGCCGATCTGACGAAAACTAGGTAAAGTTCGCCAGCAGGTTCTCACGGTGCAAGAGCCAGACACGCCATGACATTTGCATTCAGTTCGCAGAAGAGCTTTAACTATCTACAAAGAAACAAATATTTATATAATTCAACTAAACAATTCATATCATTTATCGCCGTGTAATTTCAAATCTCTATATTTTATTCCATATTAAGAATCGATTGCTTTTAGCACGATCGGTGTAACGTTTAGAAATCCTTTCAAATTGATCATACTCATAGTAATATAATAATATTTAATAACATAAAAAGTATATTTAAAATTCCAATTTTACTTTTTTTCTTTTTTTATAATTATATTAAAAATAAAACTAAAATAATAATTTTAACATTTACTTTTATTTTTCGTTATTTTGTTATTGTAATTATATTGTTCAAATGCATAATGATAATGACAATTATATAATCATAAACGTATTCATGACTTGTTCAATCATATCATACGAAAATGGTTAAAATTTATTTTAACTTACTTGATTTACTTTTATAGAGAATTAATATTTTTTTAAATTAAAATTTAATTTATTATTTAATTATATCATAAAAATATAATAAAAATATTACACGATCTTAATTAATCTTTCTTGCATTTTCCATTTATGTATATATATAAATGAAATATATATATAAATATATATAAATATATACATGAAAAAATATTTTTACTTTATATTAATAAAAATATAAAATTATGAGTAAAGACATATGACACAAAAAATCTTAAAATCTTAAAAATCTTAAAAATCGTAAAATTTATCGCAAAATTCATTGTGTTACGCTTTGTTCCTTACTTTTTTTGAGCATATTATGGAATTAAAATAAAAAAAAAAAGAGAAATGCTTAATTTATAGAACATGATTACTCAAATGTTTCGATGCACGCGTTTCTCCATCTCGCTCATTGTGTGTCCGACGATCCGACGCGTATGCTCAGAAAACTGGTTTACATTTCGAATTATCGGGAGACGGTGAGGGGCGGGTGCAGAGGTGGGTTGAAAAAAATCGTCTGGAGCATAAAGTATGCGGTATGGCGAGGCGATCGACGTTAAGAATAAATCGTTAGCCATGTCTGTACGCGCGTGCACAGATCGTACATGCACGTGGAGGGCAACCGGACGATATATGCGCGTTTTTATTACCGCCTCGATAATAAAGCCCATCGAGAAAGACGAAAGCTCACCAACTTTCCCCAATTAAAACGCCGCCATTTATCCGCCCTACCTAAGGCGGAACGCGATCTTTCGCTAACCTTTCGTTTCGATCGTCGACCCTGCCTTATACTCCCCCGTCTTGATTTGTTTCTGAACCTGCGTTTGCTTTTAATTCAAATTGATTTTTTGACTCGTAAAAATGGAAGGATATTGTCGAAGGCTAAAGTTTCAGGAAATATATCGTAGAGAAAATTTATCTTATCAATAATGATTATTTCGATTACAATTTATTTTATTTTATTTTTTTTTATTTTGAATCAATTTAAAATTATTTTTTTTTTTTGAATAATAATTTTCAACTATTTACTTATATTTTATATTAAATAGAAATTTATTAAATTTTAATTTAGAAATTAACAATTAATGAACTAATAACGATTGAAAAATTAACACATTTAATCATCGATTAATAATTAAATCAATTGCATTATTTGAATGATTAATTTCTCAAATATCAACTTAAATAATTTAATTGATTGATGCCAACATTTATTTATATGTTTAATTTTATAAAAATAAAAATGATATATTTATTATTATAATTACAAAAATAAAAGTTTCATAAGAAAAAAATAAAGTTCATGTTAAAAATCATAGTAAAATGAAACCAAAAAATTACTAATACTGCGCACGGATGACGAGATTTGTAATGCCAACAATTTTATGATACCTAATAAATTGTATTGTTAGAAAGTATCCTCATAAATTATACGAATGATACCTGCATTTAACAATTTTTAGTCATTTTTGTCCCTACTTCCTTCTTCTACCTGTTTATCTTCTTTTCTACCTGTCTATCTTCTTTTCTACCTGTCAATGATATAATTCAAAATAGAAAACTATTATGAATTGTACAGTGAAAGGTTTATAAGAAATTTCTAAGAACAAGAATTACATTTACATTTTTCTATTTATATATTATAATATTTTTCTATTTATATATTTATAATATTTATCTAATTTACTGATTTTAAACAAAATTTATATTCATCAAAAGACATTATATTAATAACAAATTTTTATTTTTTATATTAATCACGTTTTTATAATATAATATGAATGAACTAATTTTTGTTTAATTGTTTTTGTTAAATAAAATATATATGGAAAAAGAATAATACAATAAATATGGAAAAAGAATAATACAATAAAATTGTATTATTATATCAACAATTTTATTCATCCTTAATCTGAAAAATTTGCATTCAAAAATGTAATACGTTTATAATAAATTTGCAAATTTGATTTTAAATAATAAAAATAATTAAATTACATACAATAAATAATTTACGTCTAATCTCATATAATATTATTATCAAAAATATTATCATAAAATATATACAATATATATTTGCATATAACAATAATAAATATATATATATATAAAATATGCATAATTTGTATATATTGAATTTGTTAGTCATAGATTTTAATATCAGAAGAAAATTTCGAAATCAATCTTTCGCAAATATAAGAGTTACATTAATTTGCGTAATTTAATTATATAATTATATGAAAAATAATTCATAATAAACACGAATATATTCATTCATTTATTGAAGGAAAATTCAATCTTAGTTTTTATAGTGTTAAAAGGAATGATTCATTAACGGTGACTAGTATTACTCACCTTTCGACCAGCTTTATTATTATGAAGGTTCATCAGGCTTCTCGCGTCACCCTCGACTTCCCTCGCATCCAGAAACCTACGCGCGAACCTAACATTAAATTATAATATTAAAATTCATGCGTGTATAACAACTGTCGTGACGTACAATGTCATAGAGGTTTTACACGCACATGATACGTGCAAAAGGAACCGACTACGAATTCATTAAGGTTCCGGGTTAATCCCTTACCTCATTCCATACGTGACGTCGGCGCTGCAACCGCCCCATTCCCAACCATTTGGTGGCAACTCCTTTCTCGTCCTGCAAAAAAGAACATCCAAACCTTGATGAACCAATAATTAAATTCGTGATGAAAAAATTTCACTATTAATTTTTATACAATATTTTTTATAAAAAAGTTTTAATAAGTTTTAAATTTTTTGGAATAAAGATATAATGAAAATTTGAAAAAGTAACGAAATATTTGAAAAATTTCATTAGTGAAACATATGAAGGAAAATAATTATAATTTTTTAATAATACAGTAATAAAGAGTGAACAAATGAAAAATAATAAAAATAAAATTATTATTAACAAAGATTGATGAACACAATTTTTTTTCAAAATTTTGTTATAATGTAACGTATAATTCTGTTTCTCATAAATTATTATGAATCTTTCGAATTTTGCGATAAAAATTTTAATAAATAAGTCTAATAATAATTATGTTTTTAATATCTAGAGATCTAATAGATATTTGGAACGATTTATTCATAGATTTTTCTGAAAAAACTTAACAGCTTAATCCTTCACATATAAATTTTTTTAATCTCATTTTACAATTTCTTCTTAAGAGTTTCTTAAGAGCATTTTACAATTTCTTCTCGAGAATTATTACAATTGCTATTAGAAACCGTTACTTTACGGAAGAATTAGAATTAGGTAAATAATATTTTATACCTGATCCCGTTAATGACTAACATTTATAAGCCAGAGTAAAGTAAGTACAATAGTAAGAGTTTACCTTACGGTGGGTTCGCAACCACAGTCGGTGATGTTGCCCCTGCTGCAAGCTGCGGTTACGGCGTACGTTACACCCGCTGAACTTATTGCGTACGTGAAAGCTGCTTCCCTGCTTCCTGAAATAGATCAGTGAGAAATTTCCTGTTAGATATGGCGTCGAAGCAGGTCTGTCCAGTTTATGCCGATAAGTACGAAACGTGTATAGGGATTTCCAGCTAAGTAAAAACCTGCCGCGAGTATGTGACAAATAGAGTTACAATGTACGGTGTCGTCCTCATACAATGCAAAGAAAAAGAGGGATTTTGTGAAAGAAAGTGTTAATTGTCCATGTTGGACACCTGGACGTTCGAACGAAGAGAAGTATTCGTTAGGTTTTAATAAAAGTTCTCTTGGAACTACTTATCTTGCGTTTAATTTTTCCAATTTTTTTGAATTTCTATAGAAAAACTTCTTTAATAATGAAAATTTTGCTTCATTTGAAATTTTGCGATTTTTTTAAAGTAACATTTGAAGAAAAATATTGAAATAATTTTTATTTTATTATTTTATATTAATAATTTGTTTCTTTAATGTAAAAATTAATATTATTATTGTTCTATGTAAAAAAATTGTTATATAATATAATATAAAGATTTAATTGCAGCTATTTATGCTTTATAAAACTATATAATTAAACTATATTGGCGGTGAAGAATTTTTTTATTTAAATAGAAACAGTTTTTAATGTGTGATATAATATAATTTTTCGTTTAACTTATTATAATAGAAAATTATAGTGAGACTAATTTAAATGATTGAAAAATGGATACATAATTAAATTGAAAATAACAAAAAACCCGGGAATCCACATAAAACTTTCCATTCTCCAAAATTTTAACTGTACAATTATTTATTGATAACTAAAAAATTTATTTTGTATGTATTTATTATTTATATTTGTCTTACTATATTGTATTCTTATAATAAAACAAATTTAAAAAATTTTATTAGAAAATTAAAATGATTAAGAGAAATATAAAGAATAGAAAATATATAATATATTGTAATTATATAATTCATATGTATAATTCATATGTTTATTCATACATATATAAGATGTCCTTCATGATTTTCTTATTATTAATAGTGAAAAATGTTTCAAATAAAAATTGAATGCAGTTAAGGAAAGCATATTATTAGTTTTTTTTTAATAATTCAAAACATATAGAGATTAATTTTTTTATTAAATACAACTTTTTTATTAAATAAAATTATACATTTTTTAATGCATTAATCAACGCAGCTTGAAATTTTTTATAAAAAAATATTAATTCATATATATTTAAAAATTATTAATTTAAGAAATATTTCAATTTGAAAAATTTATTATATAAGAAATAAAAAAAGTGATATTCATCTGTTTATGTTTTCCTTGTCATTTATGCAATAATTTTCTACAAAATTAAAATATATATCCTAAATTAATAATTATTAATAATTTTTAAGCATATATGTATCGATTGATACGTATATATTTTTTTCATAGAAAATATCAAGTTACATCGATTGATGCATTAAAAAACATAAAATTCTATTTATTTAAAAAAATAAAATTAATCTTTATGTGACTTTTATGCGTCCATTGAAATTCTTTGATAAATTTAAGTTTTACTTACAGACATTTACGAGACATATACAAGTTGGGATTGCAAATATACAGGTACAGTTATATACAGGTATTAATGTATGAGATATTACTTTTGAACAGTCAGGATTTTAGAGATCAAAACATAAAAATTTATATACAAAAGTAAGGTTAAAATTTATTTATTTATTTTAGAATAAATAATTAAAATTTATATAAAATGAAACGAAACGAAAATAAATAAAATTGTTTATTGTATTCGGTAACTGGAGAATTGATTCTTCGAAAAATTTTAAATATAATTCGAAAAATTCTGAATATATTAATAGTTTGTATATTCGAGGATCAATTGTATTTCTACTGCAAATGACATTTTTATTTTTATATTGTTATTTTTAAGATAATTAATGGTCAAAAAAAATAGATAATGCTACATTAATTACTACATATATTCATTCATTTAAAATTAAAATGTATTTAGAAGCACAATTTAATTAATTCATAACAAATTGTTCCATTAAAAAGTAAAATTTATGTGCAAAATTTTAATTTAATAATCAAAAATAACAAAACTTAAATAAAAAAAGAGAAACATTTTAATTTTTATATTTTTGATTAATTTTGATATAAAAAATATTGAGTGGAAGAAACATTTTTTAGAATTTAGAAATATCTATTGTACATGCTTTGCATGTTATATGTATAAATATAAAAAAAATAATTATAAAATTATGTTAACATATAAGGTATTTCACCTAAAATTGTTGATGCAGTTTAAATTTCCAAATATCAAAATTATAATCAGATTTAATATATGATAGATATAATAAACAATATCTTGACAGATTAAAATTTTATTTTTCAATTGTGATCATGAAAAAAGTTCCAAAAATTGTATCATATATTTCAAGTATTATATAATTAATATGGGATTTATAAGTATTATATATTTAATATGGGATAATATGGGAAAAGAAAGAAAGCATATTCATGAAAATTTTAAAATATAAATGTATATTTTTTATAAATTCATAAAAAATTTCATATTTCTTATTCAAAATAAACAAATAATGTGCAAGTTTTATCTTTAATTAAGCGAAGGATTAACAAATATTAGAAAAAATGTTTTCACATGGTCGAATCTCAATTCGTCCACATGGCGCACATTTTAATCCATGTCAAGTGATTCGATCTACTTCATTTCGTGGATAAGTATGATACATCAACAGTGCAACGCAAAGCCCACACTGTCCTCTGGCGTTTCCGTCACGTTAATTTACAGCTATCCGGCACACGTAGGGCCGCGTAAAGCGCGAGCACAATTAATTACCTACGGAGCTCTTTCAGCTCGTTTGCCATGCTGAATGAGTTACCGCCGCGTTCCTTTCTTCTCTCGATGTTGCCTTTTTTTGTTTTCTTTTTTTCCCTCTCCCTTCCTTTTTTTTTTTTTCGTTCTCTCGTCTCAACTCATTCACGAGCTCTTCGTTCCCGACACCTACGCGATACTGTCCCGCGTCCAGGTTGATTTCGCGCTCACTTGCCAGCCATCAACCTCGGCCAATTTTAATTTGAACGTCAGGATCGCCTTTTATGCCGATGCCTAATTATAATGCAATGAAACTCCCGGAACAATTTGCGGATTTTGACGAAAGCAATTTTCATCGCGAATCGAATTTTATCGTTAAATTTCATATTTTAATCGGAATTTTTATTTTGATTTTTTGTCTTTAAAAAAATATGGATTGGTAAAAAATAGTTATTAATATTACATAATATTTAGATATTTTAAATTGAAAAAAAATTTTTTTCTAATTTTTTTCTAATTTTAAAATTTAAAAATTTTAAAGTTTAAAGTTTTAAAATTTCTTTTAAAATAAAATTTGTTAGTTAGTAAAACGTAAAAAATTTATAACATTTCTTTAATTCTTTTATGAAAATATTGAAAAAATTAGAAAAAAAATTTTTAAAGTTTTAAAATTTCTTTTAAAATACATGATCTTTCTTTTTCTACCTATAAAAATTGAAAGAAATTAAGAAATAAAGAATAAAAATATTAATTTAGAAAAGATTTCAAAATTTCATTAAATTTAAACATTTAATAATTTCTTGATGCTGTAATAAAATCAATTAACTGTAAAAAAATCTATTTATTGAATATTTCCAAAAAGTAATTCGTATTAAAAATCTCCATTATTATCTCTTTCTATTTGAGTTCGCATAGATCATTTTATAAGTAAGAAAGAAGATTGAAAAGTTCCGGCAGATCTTCCTACACGCACGATAGTTGCACGATAATATTGATCGATGTTTGTTACGTTCATAAGGTTATAATTCATAGTCACACATTTATAGATATACATGTTCCAATGATTCATTTCGTTTGATTTTTGTCGTTTGATCATGATCGATTGCGATCCAGGTGACGATTACCTTGAAAGTGTTCGCGCAGTGTTCTGGTTCTTGTTTTGAGATTGAAATTTTTTCTACACAAAAACTATCAAGTATTTCTGCTATGCTTAATATATCTAATAATCTTTTTTCGCCGCATTCCGGTTCTTTCATTTCGAATTAATTATAAATATTGCTCATTCTCTATATGTTAAATAACAGAAAGTACGAGAATAGCTATGTAATATGTATTATGTATTATTGTATACATGTATATTTTCTCAAAAAAAAAAAAAAATATTTTCTTTGAATTTTTAATTACAAATATAAAAAATCATAATGGAATTATAAAATTTGTTTTTCTCTATGTGTTTTTCTGAATGTAAATTTAAAAAATATAATTTGAGATATTTTTTAAAATTATAAAGATTTTCAGCTTTGTTTAGAATTATAGGTATGTATGATCAAATAATAGATTTTTTTCAGATTTTCAATAATATATAGTAGTTTTAAATGTAATTACAGCTTGCAATATAGTAGTTTTAAATGTAATTACAGCTTCATTTTTACTATAATGGAAATTGTTATTAATTGAGGAAAAATTTATTTTAATAATATTATTATTGTTATTAATGATAAAAAAATATAGTTTTAAAATATATTTCAATATTATGTACTCATATAAATATAATTGGGTACAATTTAGTATAATATATTGAATAATGTATTAAATAAAAATGAAACAGTATTTTTATGTCTTTTGAGAAAAAAAGAAAATTCGCAGGATTCTTTACAATTTATCTTTTAATTCTTTTGATTTGACAATAAAAAAAACAATAACTTTAATTATTGTAGGATCCTTTAATTTTAATATATTATAGTTCTATAATTCTATAATTTAAATATACTTATGTAAATAAGTGTGTAAATAAGTAATATGTATTTAAATATTAAAATAGAGCAATTTGGACTTTAATAACTGCATAAGAAAAAAACTTTTCATATATTTCATAGATAACTAAAATAAAGACATAAAAACTTTTTAAGATTTTAATTTGAATTTCAAATTAAAATTTCTGAATTAACTATTTATATTATAATTAA